TGGTGTTTGTCAGGAATAATTTTGAAAATTTTTCTCAAAATAAGCAGTTTCATGATTATTCAACTCGCCGCCGGCGCCGCAGTGACCTGATATATCCGATACATTCTTTAACAGCAGTGGAAAGTAATGTGTATTATGTTGGTGTGAAACTGTACAGTTTCTCTTACAATTAGGCAAATATCCGAACAAAAGATATTTAAAAACAAATTGGGGAATTTTCTGGTTGACGAAGTTTTTTATAGTCTGGAGGAATACCATGCTTATAGTAGAGACATTTAAATTTAGCACAACAATTTCCTTTTTCTTTTATATTTATGCATTTTTAATATAAATATTGTTATTAAAATTTAAGTATTAGACATTATACGAAATGTTTTTGTAGAATTAATCTACAGGGTTGTTCACCACATACGACACGGAGTATTGTAGCTAAAGGATGATATTTTTACAAATTGTAAGTTTTGGGTTCGATGAAGGACTATTAGAGGTACAATTTAAAAATAATTTTACAAGTTACAGAGTGTCCCAAATAAGTAAAAAATATCAAAGTTGTATTTTTTTAAATGGAACACCCTGTATATTATTACATTTTTAGTTTCTACGATTAAAATAAAGTTAATTTGATTAAGATTTATTATACTTAAACCTTACCGTTTTTGAAATATTTTCAATTTTGTGAAATTGCAGTAAAAATTTTAAGGCTTCATTTCTCCAAGGTATCAAAGTTTTTTAATACTAAATATTTACTGAAGTTTATTTACTGATCAGTTATTGTGTTGCAATAATAAAAATAATACTACCTTATACAGAGTGTCAAAAAATTTATTTTAAATAATTATTAGCTTCAAACGATATTTAATTAGCTTCAAACGGCATTATGTTCATTGTTTAATTTAAATGGAACACCCTGTATATTTTTATTTAATCAGATGCATTGTAATTTAATTGTCTATCAAATTATATTATACCATTTTTACCTATCTCTTTAAGTTTCCGTAGAAAATGCATTTTCTTGTAATTTAGAACTTATTTATCAATATACCCATGGACTATTGACATTTTAGATTATTTTTAAAGATGTACCAAATTTTTAAAGAGTACAGATACTAATATTGTCGATATAATTACTCCAAATACTAAAAAACTGAATTTTGTATGGGCATTAGACAGTGTGATAAAAAGTAACACCTTAAAAATGATATTTCATTTTTTAATAAATGCTTATTTATAACAACAGAGACTTTAATTTGATAACTTATTATTATATTGATTTCTGACTCAAATCCACATTTATTTATAATAATTTATTAACGAACACAATTAAGTATGTAATTAATTAGTATATGGGCGGAAATAATGGTGTTATATTTAATTAATGGTATACTCTTTGATAAAGATTTAAATAGTTTTCTTTTTGCATACAAATGGGCTAGTAATATTATCGTTTTGCTAAAAACGATAATATTACTAGTCTGTACATTTTGTACATTTGCTGCTTTAAAAACAATCTAAAATGTCAATATTCCATGGATATATTGATAAATGAGGTCTAAATTATAAGAAAATGCATTTTCTACGAAAACTTGAAGGGATAGGTAAAAAATGGCATAATACAATTTGATAGACAATTTAATTGTGCATCTGATTCTCCTAAAATATACAGGGCATTCCATTTAAATTAAAGAAGTTATTGCCGTTTGAAGCTAATAATTATTTAAAATAAATTTTTAGACACTCTGTATAAGGTAGTATTATTTTATTATTGCAACACAATAACTGATCAATAAATAAACTTCATTAAATATTTAACATTAAAAACATTGATACCCTTGAGAAATGAAGCTTTAAATTTTTACTGCAATTTCACAAAAATTGAAAATATTTCAAAAACGGTAAGGTTTAAGTATAATAAAACTTAATCAAATTTACCTTTATTTTAATCGTAGAAACTAAAAATGTAATAATATACAGGGTGTTCCATTTAAAAAAATACAACTTTGATATTTTTTATTTATTTGGGACACTCTGTATCTTGTAAAAATATTTTTAAATTGTAGCTCTAATAGTCCTTCAACGAACCCCAAACTTACAATTTGTAAAAATCTCATCGTTTAGCTACAATACTCCGTGTCGTATGTGGTGAACAACCCTGTATACTTCGATGTAAAACATGTCTTAAGGATTTAATAAATTATTTATTTATTTATTTAATATAGATTTGCCAATACGATTAGGGGGTAGATAGAAGGATAGGGCTTTGATAAAAGCCAGTATCTGAGACGGCTTCACAGTGGCCAGCTCTCCATCTCCGACTTCAGTCATACCAAAGTTTATGGCACGAACGGTTGTCGTCTCGGCGCACTCAGTGATGAGCTATTCAGTTTTCCCATTTTCCCTACAGAATCTGCATTCGCCGTTGTTTCTTAGCTCCAATCTACTGAGGTGTTTAACAAAAAGACAGTTTCCTGTTAAAAAAACCGTGACAATCCAAGAGAACGTGTATATAGGATCCCACCTTGCTGCGCCATCATACAACCTCACCGATAAATTCCGCGTCATTTAAGATGTTTTGTTTATTGCCTTAGGTGAAATACTACTTGCATTAGTTTCTGCTTTACAAATTTCTAGTTGTAAATATTCAATAAATTAAACAATAAAAAAAATTATTCAGACAAATTCTACGTAATAATATATTTCTTTAAATATTTATTAGTATTAAACTGCATCATTGATTTGCTATGCAGAAATTGCAGAATGTTCGTTTCTAGAAAATATATATTAAAAAAATGCCTTGCAAGAGTCTTGCAGCAAGACCATGACCAAGTCAACAAGTTAATATGGGTCTTGCATCTTGGTAAAACCACAGATTAACTTACAGATGTGGCACTTGGACTTGTCGTGGACTGTTGTCTTTTGTAAAAAATGGGCGCGTTCAGGGACGGTCAGCGGCTGAGTGGCTGAGTAAGCGATTTCCCTAAATGGTCTATTCTGATGAACAGCAAAAGTCAGCCGCTGTGCAAAATTCTCAGCGGTAAATATTTAGGCTGAGACAAGTCAGCCTAATCTATTTTCTTATCTGTGGTCAACTAATGTTAAAATAACTAAAAATAACTTTAATTTTCTCAGTTTATTGTTTACTTTTTATGGTTTGTTGAAGTTTGTAGTCAATCGTAGTTAATCGAATCTTTAAAAAATAGGAGATATTTGTTGCCAAAAAAGTTACAAAGCAGTAGGTTAATCTAAAACGTTCGAAAAAGACCTGTAAATAGAGATAAAAGAAGTTAAAGAAATAAAGAAAATTCAACTTGATTTTCATCTCATGTCGAATTTTCTGAACCATCGAAATACAATGAAGTTAAGAAAAAATACTACTTTGTGAAAAAATCTAAATCAGCATAAATAACTTTTGATTGTAATTATAATACCGTCTGATCGAAAAAAAATTGCACCTAATTGGTTTAGTAATAACGATCGATAATATTCCCTATATATACCTAAGTTTACTTATAAAGTAACAGCAATATTCACCTCCACATCACCCCTGACATCGTTTTTTTTTATTGTAGGGTATTTACACCTTCAGTAATTTTATTCGTACCATACCATCGAAAAAAATGCGTAAAAAGTGACTTGGTTGAACTGCCAGTTCCCGTTATTTTAAGTTGTTTTGTTTAGGTGTATAGGTAAATTATTTTTATAAACTGTTATCTTTTAGAAATTTAATGTTTAATACTGTATTGTCAAATAATATATTTTCAATTATTAAATGATCAGCCAGTAATAATAATTATTTTTTCAAAATAATTTTTATTCTAAAGACTAAAGATCGATTATAGACCGATTTGACGAAGACGATTTATTTATATTTCTCTCAAATTTTTATAGTAGACAGAGAGCGTATGAGACAGCTAGTGTTTCTTGTTCTTTCTGCTGCTTTGTGCCGTTTGGGGAATATCGTAAGCTGCTGGTCGGCGAAAGTCTACGCCGAATGTCAGCGGCTGTGTTCCCTGAACGTGCCCAATGTATTCCCAATTGAAATAATACTTAATCTGTGGCACAGTTTTTTGTAGCGATTCATTATACGCATGCGCTTTGTATTCGGTCCCTTTAAATAGGATATTCAAAGGGATTTTTTTGATTGTTTGTACCTATAGGTACTTATTTTTTTTAATAGGTATTCTTAGTTCTATTAGTGTTACTAATATTTATTAAAACCAAGCCTGTATCGATTCTTTTCAACATTTTTTTTTAAATTTTAATGTAGAGTTCTAATCAGTGTCGATATGACATTACGACAATAGTCACCAAAGCCACCTCGTGATATTCAAAAATAGCATCATAAATTAATGAGAGTTGAAAAAATTGCAAATTGTTGGTGGCAAGTTCATTTCGCTCTTCAAAATTAACCAAGGCATGTGTTGGCATGAATCAAAAAACAAAATGCTTAGGAGACATGGTGCTGATCGAAAAATAATGTTTTAGGAAAAATTACTCACGAAATTCTTGCACAGAGTGTTTTAAAGTTAGGGTAAAAACAACCCTTCAATTAACCCTTTATAATAAGCCAAATACTAAAGTTTATAAAAAAATTGAGTTTATGAATTAAAGTTTGCTAAAAAATTCATAAAAATAGAACTAAAAGTAAAAAAAAATAAAACATTTTAAACTTGACGAAAAAATGTTCCGTTCAATTTTTTGCATCTGAGTGTACAATAATTTGGTTGCATCGCATACACAATTATTTGCAATTCGCAATTCGCAATCCCATAAACCAGAACTCCCATTGAAAACCATCAAAACGCCAATTTGAGACAATCGGCACGTCCGAACAACGCCAAAAACCACCGAAAATACCTCCGCCCCCTTACCCCGCGCAAGCCCGGCCCCCCAGCGAATCACAATCGCACAATTTTACAGAAATTCCTCTCGATCCGACCGCGGTGGGGGTAAACGCGTCGCACGCTCGATTCTACGGAATCGGAAAACACGTCGGGAAACAAATGAACGCGAGTCGAACGCGGGACGTTCGACTGTTCGTGTCGGTAGAGAGATCGTAGGGTGCTGTGAAAGCTCGAGAGAAGGACTTATTACGAGAATTGGTTTACTATTACTTTTTACCGGCAACGTCCTGTGTTGTTATTTTACTATATTTTCGTATATGGTGTGCTTTTTTAAAGAAGACTCTTTAATAAACCAGTGATTCGGTTGAACGTTCAAGTATTGGTGTAAAGTGTGCCATATAAACAAGACTTGATTGTGATTGAAACAAATGAAAGACTTTGTTTGAAACTTGCAGTGACATTCCTTGTTTGAGTGCCTTACTATTCGACATAGGACTTGATTTCTTAATTACGTACTTATATGTTTGTGGACAAAAACGATTTGTGAGGTTCTTGGACAATTTTGGATAAAGCAAAACTTGAAAAGGTAAGTGATTCTGATTAATCAAATTTCAAACAAAGCAACTGGTTGCAAAGCTATCCAAAATAATTAAAATACTTAAGGTAAATGTACCAGTGCTCGCCACATTAAGAAAAGTTCATAATACGTATGGTGATATATCCAAATTATATGGATTATTGCTTTTGGTAATAATTTCTTTTGTAATAATTCATTATTCTAGGTTGTATTTTTGAATTTCTCTGGCGTCAATTATCGCTATAATTATTTTTTTCTCTTAAATACACATTGCCTCAGTATTCGTCAGCCCTTAAATGTAATTGTCCCAGTTATTGTCATTATCGTGTCCGAGAAATCATCATAGTTAAATGAAATACTGTATTTATAGTAAACATGAAATTAGTATTCACTTAATACGAATAATTGTTATTTTTAAGACTTTTTTGCTCCAGTACATTTTTCGTGCACCCAGCTCTTACATTTCATGCCCTCTTGAGAATATTCTTGAGGGTTTGCTTTCTGATTGTTAGAGTTGTTTGTGTTGTCGAAATTTTTGCTTTGTAGTTTCGTTTTTTTTGTAGTTTCGTTTTTAAATGTTTTTCTTCTGAATCTCCTTCTTCAAAGTGTTCAATAATTATTTAAGTTCTGGAAAGAAATAATGAGAGGCATGTAATTTATCTATTATCCATATATTATTAATTAAGATGTTTTCCTCTGGTAGGCTTAAAACGGATTGTGGTCCCATTTTCATCGCGATAGGGTCTGTACAATAACCTTATCTCACAATGCTGTTCTTAATGGATAATCCAATATGAACAGCTTCAATCGTTTTAAGCGTGTTATCTGCGGAATATTTCAGTTTTCTTACCATATTATCTGATGATGACCAGAAATCGTCATCCCCATATCCCGGTATTCGTCATCTATAATTTACATATATTTTCTTTAAAATCCCCAAACAAATTGGGGTAACCCAAATTGGTATGACGGAGATAGAGTACGCATATTCTTACTGCTTAAAATAACACCATTAAAGATAAGGTAGTAAGACATACTAATATATAGGTACGCAATTATAATTTTTACTTCCATGCACCAATCACCGTCATATGTGCCGATTATTAGGACACCACTACTTATTAGATCTAGTAATCGGCACACGAAAATAAACTAAAAATCTTCTTTAAATCTTGTATAATCGCCTAAAGACAGAAAGTTTAATATCAGCACAGGTTATTTAATATAAAACATGATTAAACTTAATTTTGTACATTTCTAATCTATCTTAAAAATTTGGATGTCTTAACATACACGTTAAAGAACTTGCACAGAACCAACATCGTCTCAATCACATACCAAAAAGCAGGGTTGGAAAAAATCATGATTTTTTTTAAATCAAAAAAAATCAGTTTTTTTTAAATTTAAATCAGACTTTTTGATTTTAATAGAAAACGTTATTTAAATCGGATTTCCAAATAATTAGGACATAATTCCAATTAAAGTCTGATAACATTAACAATTCTCCGGCGCGTGTCATTTTCCCTCATCGGTCACCAATATATTCCGCAAAAAGTCTCTCGCTTCAGATCAAAAGGATTTTTTTTGAAATGTCACAAGAGTATTAATTTTTGTCATTTCAACGCCTAGACATAAATAAAGCACTTTTACGCCTAAGAATAAAAGTACAAAAATATATTATTAAACTGATATTAAGCGTCAATTTCAAGGAGTGTACAAATTGTTACTCGATTACGTACAAGGTATTACATTTTATATTATTTGCAACGTTTGAAATTGATGAAAAAATTATTTGTATAAAGTTTAAAAAAATATAGTATATTCTACTCGGAGTAAAAATGTACTTTTGCGCCTTCCTGTTTATGCTAGTCCGTCAAACGTACAAACTCGTCAAAAAGAGTTTAATTTTTACTCTTTACGCAATACACTATTGTTCGGAAATAGTTTTAAGTCCAGAATGAAATTAGTATTATTTATTGGCAAAGTGTAAAATACTGCAGGTCGAAATGTCACAAATTATTGATGAAGGCAGAAGTTATCTTGACCAATATACAGCTGTTTCAAAAAATATATAAAACAGCATATTTTCTGATCATTTGAAGATATAGTCTATAACATCAAAAGAATCTTTTTCTGCACTAGAGGTTGCGAATGAAATGTATTCGAACAACGTTTTTTGTCACTTGTACAGGGTGGGTCAAATTCGACGCTTTTAAAGGGAAACACCCTTTTCTATAGGAGATAGACGAAAACTAATATGGGTGTCTGGAGCTCAGTTTTCATGAAAAACATGATGGTGAAAACCGCACATCAATACCTGTTACTGTTTCGGAGTTACAGGGTGTTTTTCAAAAATGTGCATTTTTAACAAATCACTGTAACTTTTTTGCTATTGAAAATTTTGTATTTCTATGAAAACATTTCCAAAGCACCTTTTTACGTAGAATTTAATGGTTTAAGTATATTTTTTTTAAAATTAATAATTTAAGAATTATCAACAGAAAATTTGATTCTTTATATGGGACACCCTGTATATTTTTAATTTATTGAAAATAATTTAAAATTACCTTTCCAAAAATATAACACACTTGATATTTTGCTCGATTCCTCTTCGAGATATATAGAGTATAAAAATTCGCCCGCTTTAAATAAGTAGGCTTTGAACGGCACCGGCTGTAATGCAAAAAAATTCTAGCTGTGAGCATCAATTAAAACGAAAATAATATTTGCTATGAGAGATGCAGAATTTTATAACAATTTAAAATATATTTAACCAACATCAACACATTTAAACTATATCTAATAACAATAAAAATAAATAGCAAACTAAGACATGAGATTTTGCTACAAGTGTTCAACATATCGATCGTCTTCTGTTATGGACAAACGGGGCAGTTTTTGAACATTTCTCGGGGAATTCATTAACTCAGTAGGGGTGAAAGATTCCCTCTCATAACTGCTAAGTATTTCTAATTCTTGTCTAGATTATACGGAAGAATAAGGAACCTTTATTCTTCCGCAAATATATCCATAGGATTAGATTCATGGGCACTAAGTCAGGCGGCCTCGACGGCCAACGGCTGGGATCTTGGTTAGCTATTCAAATATTCTTGAAATTGGCTGCAAAAATTTGCTGATAACTTCAGCGTTCTGAGGCGGTGCGTTGTCTTGCTGGAAAAATATGTTTTCGAGTTCCATTAAGGGAATATCATCAATAATGGGTCCAAAGCCTACTGGTTAAAAGTGGCGAACTTTTAAAAATTCTGTATTTCGAAGGGGATTATAACAAAATATCAAGTGTGCTATATTTTTGAAAAGGTAATTTTAAATTCTTTTCAGTTAATTAAAAATATAGAGGGTGTCGCAAATAAAAAATCAATTTTTCTGTTGATAACTCTTAAATTATTAATTTTAAAAATATTATACTTAAACCATTAAATTCTACGTAAAAAGGTGCTTTGGAAATGTTTTCATGGAAATACAAAATTTTCCATAGCAAAAAAGTTACAGCGATTTGTTAAAAATGCACATTTTTGAAAAACACCCCGTAACTCCGAAACGGTAACAGATATTGATGTGCGGTTTTCACCATCATGTTTTTGATAAAAATTGAGCTCCAGACACCGATATTAGTTTTTGCCTATCTCCTATAGAAAAGGATGTTTCCATTTAAAAGCGTCGAATTTGACCCACCCTGTACATAAATTTCAAAATAAATCCCTGCCCTTTAGACGTCTAATGGATTCATACGAAATTACTTCAAAAATCGGTCCAACATTTTAATTGATGAATAGATATGTAGTAGGTATATGTGTTATACAAATAATTTTTATATAGTTTTATAACATTTACAATTATTTTTCGATTTATTAAAAGTATTTAAACGTTACAATAGCAACTGTAACATTTTATTTAATGAATAGATATAGGGTATATCTCTTATAGAAATATTTTTTATAGTTTTTGGTACTAATTTCATTTGTAAGAATTCATTATTCTAGGTTGTATTTTTGAATTTCTCTAGCGTTAAATATCCCTATAAATCTTTTTTTCTTTTAAGTACACATTCGTCACCCCTTAAATGCAGTTATCCCAGTTATCGTCATTATCGTGTCCGAGAAATCATCATATTTAAATGAAATACTGTATTAATAGTAAACATGAAATTAATATTTACTTATTACGAATAATTGTTATTTTTAAGACTTTTTTGCTCCAGTACATTTTTCGTGCACCCAGCTCTTACATTTCATGCCCTGGATCATGCCCTTTTGAGAATATTCTTGAGGGTTTGCTTTCTGATTGTTAGAGTTGTTTGTGCTGTCGAAATTTTATTTTGCTTTGTAGTTTCGTTTTTAAATGTTTTTCTTCTGAATCTCCTTCTTCAAAGTGTTCAATAATTATTTAAGTTTCGACAAGAAATAATGAGAGGCTTGAAATTTATCTATTATCCATATATTATCAATTAAATTGTTTTCCTCTGGTAGGCTTAAAACGGATTGTGGTCCCATTTTCATCGCGATATAGGGTCTGTACCCTTACCTCACAGAGTTGTTCTTAATGGATAAACCATTATTAACAGCTTCAATCGTTTTAAACGTCTTATCTACGGAATATTTAAGTTTACTTACCATATTATCTGATGATGACCAGAAATCGTCACCCCCATGTCCCGGTATTCGTCATCTCTAATTAACATATATTTTCTTTAAAATCCCGAAACTAATTGGTATGACGAAGACTGGTGCGCATATTTTTACTGCCTAAAATAACACCATTAAAGATAAGGTATATAGTAAGACATACTAACAAAAATAATTAATCTATACGCAATTATAATTTTTACTTCCATCATATGTGCCGATTATTAGGACACCACCACTTTTATTAGATCTAGTAATCGGCGCACGAAAATAAATTAAAACGATTCTTTAAATCTTGTATAACCGCCTAAAAACAGCTAGTTTAATATCAATAAAGGTTATTTAATATAAAACATACATGATTAA